AGAACAAACCTCTTCCTGCTTCAAAATGCTCACTCCAGAGTGGAGACTTATGTGAAAGTAGAAAGCTTTTCTTTCTACCTAGCATAATTATCCATTGTTACTTTTTTGCTGGGCTTTGATGCATGAATCACATCTGTATGGTTTGGGTTTTTCTTCTCATGCTGGGTAGTCATTTATCACAGAATTGAGATACCAGTCCTCTAGACCGCTCTTGTGGTTGCATTTTATCCTCACTCCAGCATTGTTGGAAAACTTGTGACCCTCTCTCTCTTCATCCCTCCTGCCTCTCAGCAGGAGAGGTGTCTGGAACATCAGACTGGGCAAGTGACACGTGTGATGTTCCAGGCATGTGTCATTATGAATTTAATATGTGTGTGTGTGTGTGTGTGTGTGTGTGTGTGTGTATGTATGAGCACAGAGTGGGACAGTGCCCCCTAGACCAGGGGTGTCAAACTGCCGACCCATGGGCTGGATGCGTCATCCGGAAGCTGCACTCACCCCATTGCCGGCAATGGCAAAACCGTCCTGATATGTTACGCGACGTCATGTGACGTCGCGAGTTTGACATGTCTGCCCTAGACTTTTACTATTCGTTTTAAAATGTGCAACCCTTTTAAAGGTTACAGTACTTGGTATATTTTCCATTTCAAATACTGGAACTCTTATAGCTGATTACTTCTTTTTGGTATAGCAAACTGTCAAGATTCAACATTAGCTTGTTAGAACTGATAATGTTTTATAAAAGGGGGAAAAACAAATAATTTAACTATCAAGCTATTCATTAACTTCTTAAAAGTTTCATGTAGGGTGATGACTATTCCAGTTTCGATGTAAGAATTTCAAAATCAGAATTTCATCACTGTAGAACTACAGACCAATCATCTTGACATCAATTCCTGGGGAAAACTGGAAAAGATGATCAAACAGCGGATTTGTGAGCACCTAGAAATGAATAAGGTGATTAGTGATAGCCACCATGAATAATTCTGGTCACTATGATAACAAAAAAGATGCTGAGACCCTAGAAACTGTTGAGAAGAGCAACAAAGATGATAAAGCAGAGGTGTCAAGCTGCCGGCCCACGGGCCAGATGCATCATGACAAAACCGCGCCCACCCCATTGCCTGCAATGGAAAAAAAGTCGCGATATGTCATGACACGCCACGTGACGAGTTTGACACCCCTGTGATAAAGGGTCTGAAGGCTAAACCATATGATTGAATGGCTAAGGGAACTAGGTATGCTTAGCCTAACGAAGAGAAGGCTTGGGGGGTGACATGATAACTGTCTTCTAATACTTGAACAGCTGTCAAAGGAAGAGGGGATTGATTTGTTCTCCAAAGCACCTGAAGGCAGGACAAGAAGCAATGGTTGGAAGCTAGATATAGATAGATCCAACCTGGAATTAAGGAGAAACTTCCTGATAATGAGAACAGTTAGTCAGTGGAACAGCTTGCCTCCTGGAATTGTAGGTGCTCCATTACTGTTGATTTTCAAGAAAAGATTGGACAACCATTTGTCTGGGATGGAATAAGGACTCCTGCCTTGGGCAAGGGGTTGCGCTAGAAGACTTTCCAGCCATATAATTATATGATCCTATGTTCAGAAAAGGTAGGTTTTAGTGTGAACAAAGCCACTGAAAGAAAACTGGGCAGCAGCCTAAGCTATTTTTAGGGAATTGCAAAAATAGAACTCAAAATACATAGAAGGCAGTGAAGTTATGCCTTCCTTGAAAAGTCAATGAATCTGAAGAAAATAAGAACCAGCAAGAAAACTGAGGAAAAGGAAGCAAAAAAAGAAGCTGAACGCGCTTAATAAAAGAAGACGCTTAATATTGTGATTAAAACATCAGAGTTGAAGTCTGTGAAATCCTTAGCATGCTTAGGGTATCAAGAGATGCTTAACTAAATGGGATGATGCATTTGGGAAAATAAAAGAGAAAGAAAGCATATGCCCAGAAGAAAAACTGGTCCTAGAAATGTGGATTGACCCCAAAGAAAAGACCATGACAGATAAACAGTATGACAGAAAATCATTATTAGAATCACCTTATTAGAATCACAGTCTATTGACTATTTGCCATGAAGTCATTATTGTCTCTCAGTGACCAGATCATCTCCCTGATGATCTGTCCCTAATCTGGCACTATGAGGGATATCCAACAAGGGATAAAGGAAGAAAATTACACCATAAGCATCTGTATCTTTTTGTTTTCTATGATTGAGAATGTTTAAATGGATATTTTAATGGCACATTCAATTTCCCCTTCATTTTGCCATATGCCATCAGTTTAGTAATGGACAGTTCATCTCCCTTCGGTCTTCTACATCAGGAAAAAAAATGGCGGGTTAATATTAAGCTGCAAAAGATAATAAGCAGGAGGAATAAAAAAGAACAACTCTTAGTTGGAACAGAACAGCTGAAAACTGTTGAATGTTAACGGCATATATTGAATTTTGAATTTTAACGGCATATATTGAAACACAATTAGAAATGATCAGTGGGTGATTCTCAGTTTCTATGAGTTTATATAGAGCCACTGTTTCATTTTTCAAAGAAGCTAAATATTCCTTCTCTCCCTCCCCCCTTCCCCCCCCAAATATTGTTTTCTTCCTTAAAGACTTGCTGGCACTTCTGCTGTCTTTGCAAATGCACTAAGATGGAAATTTAACACCAGGGTTAGCTAAGGACTTTGATAAAATTGTGGAGAGTACTTCTAGACAACTGGTTCAAATATCTGTCACCTAGTATCTTACAGACGAGTTGGTGAGTCCTGAGGCTTCAGTCACCTCCGTTGTAAGCGCTTCGTGCTAATGACCTGCCCATGCTTGGTGCTGCAGCAAATGCAAATGGGGTGTTACTCCTGTGAAGTAGCAGCAATACCCAAAAATATTCTTTTACATCATTTATGAGAAAGCAAACACGAAAGGCATCAAGTTGCTGATCAGCCCTGAAGTATGAGTGCTAGTTTACGATCGTTCTGTATTATGAAGATTACATTCCAAAGAATCAGCCTTTGAGTCCAAACCTTTTTCTTCTTACTACATTCTATATCAGTAATGGCAAATCTTTTAGAGACCGAGTGCCCAAACTGCAACCCAAAACCCACTTATGTATCGCCGGGTGCTGGGTGGGTGTGGCCCACTCGGCGGGTGCAGCTACAGTGGGCTTGGCAGACTGGGTGGGCGTGGCCACTGGATGGGTGTGGCTGCAGTAGTCATAGCAGATTGGGTGGGCATAGCCGGGGTGGGCATGGCCACCTTGATGTTGCTTATGGGGAGGAACACCTGTGGGAGCTGGGCAGGGTTGGGGGAGATCCAGGGGGTCTCTGGCAGGTGGGATGGTGGACTCCCCAATGGCAGCTCCAGGCTGGCTGGTCTTAGGCCAATGATGGCGAACTTTTAGAGACCACATGTGCTGGGTCGATGGCGCGTGCCCATAGAGAGGGCTCCGCGTGCCGCCTCTGGCACGCGTGCCATAGGTTCGCCACCACTGTTCTATATCAATGTAACGTTTTTAATCCATGAAAATTAATGGAGTTGTATGGGGAAATCCACAATGCTGTAAAAGATTTTGGAATGACATTTTCATAGGTTAATTTTACTGCTTGAACGTAACTTGTGGTCTCATATCATTATTTCAGATATGGAAACTTACTTTAGGTAGGGCTCATTCCTATGCATGGCACAGGAAAAATGTCCCCTTTTTGTTCCCCACTTAAATGGTCTGGGGCTGACTCATGGAATACCTGAAACTATAGGAATATAACTGAACCAAGTACGACTGCACACAGTCTTGAGGAATTATGAAGCCCACATATATCTATACACGGAGGAGAAGAAGGTTTATTACTTACAGAGGGAAAATGTTGGGAGGTGATCCAGGTCTCTAAAGCAAGAAGGCAGATGCTCTGTTTTTTATTGGACCATCTGCTCTCTTTTGCTTCTGTTTGGTGATATATCAAGAAAAACAACAATCCCAGGCAACCTTTTCATATGCTCATCTGTTTAGGCACTGATTGGACAGAGAGGGATGGGGATACCACAAGTAATTTTTGTAAGATGGCAGATCCACAGATCAGAAAATCTTGGGTAGAATCAAAATAACAAAATGTGAACTGGTACTTTAAACTTTGTGGATATTTAGACTGTCTTTGTTCTAATCTGGCTGTTTGTTAATATATCTTCAGAGTATAGAAAGCTACCCAAGAACCCAATTTCTTTGACTTCTGTTACCAAATTGGCTCAGTGTTGGGGTGTGTGAGGCTAAAGCTTGCAAGGCTGAGAAAAAAGAGACTAGAAACAATAGCAAAGAAGAATCCAGGTGACCTCCACATCAAATGTAGAGAAATAAGCAGGAAAAACCTCCACCTAAGGGCAGAAGGAGATGTGTAAATGGAGATCCAAATTGTTTGATTCTTCAATGAATGATCCTTAGTATTAAGGCTTGTCCTATCTGCAACAGAAGCAACTTATATTCTAAGATGTTTCAGCATCTACATAAAAAATTACAGCTAAATCATAGGTGAAGCTATGTTGTCCTACTCACTCACACATACATAATGGTGGTTTAGTCAGTTTATTAATATTCCCCATCAATTCTCTTCACCAAAAATCCAGAACTGTCCCAATTAAGCCCAGCCAAAAGCAGACCAATGCTTGTCCACAAAGCAATGGCCAATAAGTCCACAAGGCACTTGAAAGTTTCCCAAACAAGATAACCCCACCAGGCAAAATTAAATCCACAATACAAGAGGGTTTGCAAGGCAAGAAAAGCCCAGAGTTCACAAGGCACAATCCAAGTCAAGACACGGAGACAATTCAAAACAAGGCAGGGATCACAATGACCAGGAAACATACTATTCCTGGCATCATCTCCACCTGTTGGCTATGCTAAATACTCAGCTTCTGGTGCAGCTCATCAAGGCAGCCTTCTCATGAGTAATCAGGCTGACCTTTGCTGCTTCTGCCTTTTCTCTGCCCTATATGTTCTCCAATCAGGTGCAGAAGGCAGTTCCTTTTCCTCATCACTGACCGGCTGCAGCTGCATGTTTTCCTCACCTGAAGCCTCAGGGATGTCCTGATGCAGCTGTACTTCAGCCAAATCCCTCCGAGATGGCTGCTCAGAGCCATTGGCCAACTCCCCTCCTGACGTGCTGGGAACTGGTTCATCCTCCTCCAGATTGACATTTGGAAAGGTATCTGGGGAAGTGTCCAGGGGATCCATCATAGTAGCTCTGTTAGGATGTCACATTAATTCAAACCTAGGTTGAATTTAGTCAGTACTATATTTTTGTGAGTTGTAGAATTGTGTTTGTTTGAAAATATATTCCTGAATGTTCAGTTCATCATCAGGAATCTTGCATATATTATATTATTTGCATATTTATATAACAGTATTCAGAGGGATATGGATTACAAGAGAAAAAAGGTTAGATACAGAACAGGAACTCTAAATATGCTAGAAGTGTATTTCCACTTCTGGCCTAGCTGCTGATAACAAATATCAAGGCTACTTCTAATAAGGAGCCCATAGTGGCACAGAGGTTAGAATGCAGTATTGTGGGCAAACTGCACACATCCTGGATCCTGTTAGAGCTCAAGGTTGACTCAGTCTTCCATCCTTCTGAGATCAGTAAATGAAGACCCAGTTCATTGGAGGCAATATGTTGATATTGTAAACTGCCCAGAGAGTGCAGTAAAGCAATATGGGGTGGTATGTAAGTCTAAGTACTATAGCTATTGCTATTGCTAATAAGCCCTAAGTCACTCAAGACTTGATTGTAGATGAGTAGATGGACCTGGTATATGTCAGGTTTCATCTAGACCTGGCTAGGTGATGATAGTGATGTTACCCACGTGGAGATTTTCGTCCTGTAGTTTTAGACCTTTTAGCAACCTCAACTCCAAGGCCAAGAGGGAGGGAGAATAATGATTTTGAAAGACATGTTATTGTTATGGTCTTGTCTGAGTTTTGTGAATTAGAGGCTGAAGACATAAACCTGAAAGAGGAACAGCCTGAAGAGTTAGAAGGCAATCAGACACCAGCAGCCACTCCAGGAGACACTGAGCACAAGATCTCTGATTCCAATAATGATGGACCTGATCCTCTGACAGGGCATCCTAGCCCAAACCATCAGCTATGAAGGGCTGAGCAAAGGTATTCAGCCTCTTTGATGCTGATAATTCAGATTTCAAGGCATATCATAGTGCTCTGGCTGATTGATTACCAGCTGTTATCAGAAAGTTTATGGCACGGTAATAAGCCAAACTTGGAATTGCCTAGCTATCTGTTTTCAGTTGATTGACAGAGTACACTACTATAGGACTAGGCTGGCCTTGTTCTTGAAGTGACAGAGTGTGCCTGTGTATTAAATTGGGCTGGTATGGTAAACTGGAAATCCTTGAACACAGTCCATCTTGCTGTCTGGTAAGATCACTATCTAGATTACTGGATCTTATCACCAGATTGTTGACATTCCTTTACGTCTTGCTGTTGAGTGACTTCAGTCCTCATGACTGGGATCTAGGGAGGATCAGAAGTTCATGGTCTCCATGGAAATAATGGGGCTTTTCTCAAATAGTCTTGTACTCAACCTTTGCTGCAATTATTTTGATCCAGAGGAGGCTGATTGCTACCACCTTAACAGGTCTCCATGAGATGATTTAATTGGACGGACACAATTGCTTCTGATAAAACACTTCTTAATGTACCCCATGTTATACTCATAAGGCTTTGTATATAAGCCTTATGCATAACTCATGAGTGTAATTGATTTGGACCCAGAAATTTATTGGCAGACAGAACATTGGCTTCAGGAGAGGCATCATCTTTCAGTGATGAGACTGACCCATGATTAGCCTCACCATAGCATTCTGGACCAGTTGTAGATTCTGAGTCAGCTCCAAAGTCTCTCTATTGTAGAGCACATAAGAGTAATTCAGTCTGATGGTGATTGTAACAATTACCAGAACACTAGCAAACCAGGGCAAGGCCTCCCTGGCTGTGGCTTCTACTACTATTTAAGCAGTAGCTGTGAATCCAGGAGGATACCCAATTACTTCCAGGGGAGTACAAACCCATCGGAGCGGTTATCAGGTCTGGATGTTTATTGCAGGATTTAGTGGGAGTTTTCAGACCCTGAAAACATCCAGTCACCATTTCAAGCCTTTCACAGCATCTCTAGTTCAGCTTAAGGTAGCAAGATACATTGTACTTATTGTATAGTAGTTCTAACCCTAACCCTAACCCTATCCAATAATAAACCTTTATTTGTTTGTTGGTTTATCACATTCTGGAAGTGCCCATCCCCCTCACAGACCACAACTAATGCTATTTCTATCCTATGATTGTATCTGGATCCTGACTGGCAAGAATCCAGATTTCCTATGGGAATTTGATGCTCAAAAGCGGAGGTTAGGCAGAAATTATGGAAAATCATTGGATTCAAGGGGGCTTCTTCAAAAGGGAGCATACAACCACCTCCTTTAAAGTAGACAGCTTTATTCTCTCCTTAAGTATGCATACCCTGCCTAACTGCCTGGAAGACATGGATTTAAAGTACAGTTAGCTAAGAACCTATTCACTTTCTTGAATACAAAAAGCTCAGAAGATAAAACCAGCAAGATAACCAAGGCACCAGATGCCTTGGTTATTCCAATGTGGAATATCTCAGCCTCACTCACCACACTGCATCCTGTCCAACTGGCATCCAACTCTATTCTGTTCAGCAGCTCACTGATAACATTTCTCAGATTCGCCAATCTTGATTATGTTGTGGGCTACATCTGAAATAATGGCTGGGATAACTTCTTGACTTAGTATGTGGGATTCATTTTGATCATGAATTCTGATGGAATATAAATACTCTACCTGCTTCATGGTTCTGCCATTTGTGGGCTAGAACCATATCACTCCAGTTCTCTGGAGAGCTACAGACATATAACTGGCTAGATCAGAAGGAAGTCCCTGCAGGAAAGTGTAATGCCAATAGCCTTGAGGGAGGTTATGTACACTTTGAGGATATTTCTGGATCTGATAATGACCATCTAATTAACCACCTCCCATTTTGGGGGAAGCTTATTGAGAAGGTGATAGGGTGGTAGCAGCAAAGTAATGTAGAAGATGTGAATTATATATTGATCATTTTCAGTCCATATTCAAGGCCAAGCTTGGAATGGAATAGCACTGGTTGTTGTAATCAGGTTGATCATTTTTGTCATGGCCTGAGTGAAAAAGAATAGCAACTAATGCTATTTCAATTCCAAGCCTGGCCTTAAACATGGACTGAAAATGATCAATATAATTCACATCGTCTAAGTCATACCGATGAGAAGTCCAGCATTCATTCCAAACTGGATTGAGACTGCCCCATCTTCACAAAAGATAAGCCTCCTCTCCCTTACTTGAAAAAGTGCAAAAAAATTAACCATTATCTTGCTGTTTTTAAATTGCCTACTTAGATGTCCCATAAATGCAATCTGCATAGATTAGCTAGATTGCTTCATATCCACCAACATCCCAGGTATTGGCTAAGATGTTTGATTACACAAGGGAAGAACCAGTGTAAATCCATCCTGAACCATGGAAACTTTGGGGATAGATACTCCTTCTTAGCGTAATCTATTTCATTGGTGGAGGAAATACTATGTATGTCACCTGAGCTTTTGGTAGAAAAGCAGGTTATAAAACAAACTAACTAAGGGGAATTGTTTGTGTAGAACATGTACCAAAGTACAGCATGATAGAATTATTCTCCATTACAGTATTCCCACAAACTATGTTAGAGGAGATATTTGTGGTTGATCTGTCTTCAACACTGATGGAAATGGCATCTTTTACTATCACTATATTCCAGTCCTAAAAACCCTACTCTTTAATAGGCCAGGTTATGATCTATTTGCTTGTGAAATGGATAAAAGCGTTCAAACTGATTCTAGGGCTGAGTTTGCATGTGAGAGATCCTGGATCTACACCCTAATTCATAACTGAATCTTGTTCATAGAGATAACATTAAAGTTTATATAAGACAACAATCCCACAAGAAGCACCCCAGAGCATTTGTTTACTTGCATAGGAATTTCCAAGTATTAGTCTGGAACTTATTTGAGCTGCCCTTCAGAGATTATTTTTTTTCCATTTTGATTCATTGTCTTGAAAGACAGTTTCCTTTCTCTTTTTAAATTCCAAAATTACCATATTCTCTCTTAGAATCAAATCAAGAACAACTATTTCTTGGTCTAGAAAAGGGATCTATAATGTAAAAAAAATCAATGAACATGATTTTTTTTTATCTTTAAATTGAATGGACTTTAGGATTATTCCATCTCCTTGATTCAGTAAATATTAACAGCAGTTTCACACATTTTTTTTTCCAAATTTGTAGGAACTAAATAAATAAAAATAAGCCATTATATGGCTTATATTTGAAGCAATTTCTGATTGGCTTATTTATATCTGAAGCAAATCTAGTAGTACAGCAAATTGCTAGAGTTGCTTTGAATATATTAAATTTATCAATTCCTTTTTTAAATAAAATTATTAAATTGTTAAAATACACAGATTCCATTTGGATAAGTCCCATCTAAAGCCTTAAAGAACTGACTCTTCTCTCAAGCATTAGAATACGGTAAAATTAGAGCTGGAAGATAGGGTGTTGGTTGCATTGAAAGAGATAGATTGTGCTACCAGATTTTTATTTCTGCTTTTATTTTGTGTGCAGTTTTTTTTCCTTTCATTGTTTTATTATGTTTGGGTTCATATATCTGTTGTGAACCACTTAGAGTTTATTTCTTTCATTTATTTTTAGCCCATTTAAAACATTTGCATAGCTGCCCATCTTCAAATTGAATTCTGGGTGGCTCACACAATGTGCAGTTGCAAGAACTGTGATTCTAATATGGGCAGCCATACAAGTATTGAAATGAATGAATGAATGTGTAATATATGCATATAGTTATTCCAGAAGTGGGGATTTTGTAGTCCTCACGTAATTTCATGTGATCCTCAGTTTAATTCTGTACAAGTTCAAATCTCTGGTGAGACTTGCATATCCTTTCCTTGTAGCTGGGATGTCAAAGAAAATTAATATTTTGAACATTTTTTTACTCTGACCCCACCCTTGTCCCTGAGGACATACGGCAATTGGTAGGAAAAATAGCCCACTCATGGTCTCTTTCACTAAGAGGTGCTTTTCTGAAATGTCCTTGCTTGTCTACTACATGAATAATTTGCAGCATCAAATTACCATCCAAAGATTATTGTTGCCTTACCCCAAGTATTGATGTAATACATAACGTTCTGGTAACAGTCAACGACTTTGCGGATTTTCAGCCAAAAGCGTTTTCTAATTCTGGAAAATGCCAGAGATTGAACTGGGACCTTTTGCATGCAAAGCATAAGACACTGAGCTATGGTCTTCCTCATTCTTTTAGTCATTATCTTCCTTTTAGCAATTCCAAAAATAGCAGAAGAATAATCAGACTTCAATAAACATTATTATTTAAAAATATATATCCAATAATCAAATGCAACCGTATTTTGCTGTCTGTTGACTAAAAGCTATATGCGGTTGCATTTTATTATCAAATGCAGTTTTGGTGTACTAATTTTCCTACTTTTTAGCTGGCATAAGAACAAGTAATGAACACACAGACTATTTTTAATTTTATTATCCAATAAAATATGAATTATCTAATAAACATAGACAAATATTTGTTCTGTTCCTAATTTCTAGTATACTGATTGCTCAGAAAGAAAGTGTAAACTTGCAGAATCATATGAACACAGTTTCAAACAGCATATTTTGATTTCATAAAGTATTTTAATGATAGTATTTTGAAAAGATTTGCTAAATTAAAAAAAAAATTCTAGTCAATCCAGTTTTTGGGTTGTGATTCTTTCAACACAGGAAAGAGAACGAACATAAATCAAGGCAGTTGCCTTACATTTTACAATATGGGAACATCTTGTATTCTTCTAACATTCATATTTCTGAAGCTAACCCATTCTTACTGTGACATTAGCTACTAAAAATGTGACCCATTTGACAATACATTCCAGTTGAATTTGTTAATAATTATTTTAAGTATTTTATAAGATTTTATCCCTTTAATTATTTCCTTTTATTGTTAGTCATTTTCTGTGCTCACTTGATGGAAAGATGGGATGTAAATTGAATAAATAATAACACATTTCCAGAAATGAAGTAGACACAAACTATGGTATATTTCCACCAGTGCAGGAATGCACATGTCTTCCAAATATTGTTTTTAGCAGCAAAAATAATCTAGCTAGGACTAACCTATTTCCTAGGTAATACACGAAGCCCTTGGAATAAGTTGGAATTGACTGTGTCCTAAAACAACAAAAGTAAAAGCCATTCCACCTACCCATAAAACATTTTAAAAGCCAAACTGTCCCAGACACAGTAATTCTGCAACTGGAATGTTAAATGTTGTTTTAATGAAATGAAAGGAGAAAGGGATGCTGTATTAGGACAGCAAATATCTAGTTTTTGTTCCATTTTCTACAATTAAGATTAAGTGTAGAAAGCAGTTGCTATTAGGTCTGGAGGGAGGAGACTCCCAAGCTTGAAAACTATTCCCTTCCTGCTTTAAGACTAATTCAAATTATTTTTTGCACTTTATCTTAATTTCCGAAGCATAAGAAGACCTTGGGAAACTGCATGATAGACTTTCCCCTTACTTGTAGTTTGTTCTAAGGAACAATTGGTAGTCCACTGGGCATTATTAGTATATATTCTGCCTGCACATAAGAGTTGCACTCAAAACCCACTGAAATGAATTAAGAAGTCCAGCAGTAGAGCTGTTTAAAATTAATTCAGAATAAAGTTGGAAGGGATTGTCTTGGGGTAAGTACAACCACCATAACTGATCATCAGTCACATCAGCCTGGCAATGTAAGTTTAATTATATTTAACATAGCACAATTGTATTTCATGGTATGACTGCAGTTGCATCTATTGCTCCTTTTTATTATATATGGTGAATGCAGAAATAATTTGATTAAGAACATGGTTAAATTAAATTCACTGCAATGATATATGTTTCATTTGGAGAGTTACTGGTATTAAATGTGCCCTATTCTTAAGATGCCATATCAAATGTCATATTTTCTAGTGGAGAATTAGATCCAAAAGCTAGGATCAAAGTCAAGGTCACATTTCACAAAGCGGTCTACTAAGGGGATTTGCTGTGGTTACTTTTTATATCTTGTAATTATGAGAGACATAGATGCTACTGAAAAATGATGTGGTCTGCAGTTTCAGAGGATAGGCACCATCCCTTCTGGACCCCATCAATCGTGGCTGATGCATGTGATTTTATTTTTTATATGAAACCAAATCAGAAATGTATCTGAAACCGCAGACTACATCATTCATATGTATGTGTTTGTGTGTGTGTATGGATTTTCTCAAAAAGGCAGGAGGAAAGAGAAAGGATTGTTCAGTAGGCCCTGGACTAACATGCAGTCAATAAATTGCAACTGTGTCATAGGTTGGGGATAATAATAGCTCAACAAACCTTACTAAACCTTAGTAACTACTACTGACCTACTGACCAAATCGCCAAAAGTAATAGATCCAGCTATGTAAGTATTCTTAGTTTGTTCAGAACACCCTCCTAGATTGATTTCTCTTGCAGCCTTATCAATGAATTCTTTTTTATCCACAGTTGTCAAAACTTACTAGGATACTAATATTTTGTCAAGGGGAATGTAAAATAAAATTAAGAGAAGAACTGGTAGTAGAGGGACATAGTCGCCAATGGTTCCCTATTTACAATTATTAGGAAAAAATGAAATAGACAAAAGAATGTGCGGTTTTGAACATTGTATGACTGAGTTTCAAATAGAATTGTGTACAAACGATGAACATGCAATTGCTAAAGTGTATACATTCTTATGAAGAATTGAAATATAAGAAAAACATGTGAAAGAATATATAATAAAATGAGCTAAAACTTTTGGTTATAATATAGGATACAGATGGAACAGTGGAAAAATATGTAGCTGAAAGGATTGAAATTTATACTGTGCTATAATCATAAAGAGAGTTTTTATAAACTAATGCACTGTTGGGATACAGGTAATCCTTGACGTACGATTGGTTGTTTAGCAACAGTTCAAAGTTATGATTGACCCAAAAAAGGGTGCTTATGACCTGGATTCAAAGTATTGACGGTTGTCTCCCCTCCACAATCATGTGATCAAACCTCAGACACTCTGCAACATGGCCACATTTATGGCTGTTTGCAGCATACTGCAGTCATGTGACTAGGTTTTACATCTGTTTTGCCCAAAACTGGCACTTCTTATTTTTTGGCTAAACTATGCCTATAGTGTACAAATGATACACCTAATGACTAGGGCAGGGGTAAGCAACCTTGGCTCTTTTATGACTCGTGGACTTCAACTGGCTCAGGAATTCTGGGGTTGAAGTCCACGAGTCATAAAAGAGACAAGGTTGCCTACCCCTGGTATAGGGTGTTCACTTAATGACTGCTGCAGCCATTTTACAGCAACCATATTCAGTTAATCCTCACCACAAAAAAGGTCGTAACATCGGCCAACCCATTTTATGATCATTACAACATACGATCATAATGAGCCGACTCCATTATGGTCGTACGTTGAGGAGCACCCATATATCACCAGAGTTACGTTTTGTGGATATATAAAAATGCTAGAAAATTCTGGGGATTCAAATACATACACTGCTTCAGAGGATTTAAACAACTAACATACAATTAATCAGACATTTTTGTTTTGGGACTGATAGACAAATAGTTGGAAAAAAATTATGGAGTTTTGTTTTTGTGCAGGATAGCTTAAGCAAGATTATTATACGCACAAAGAAGGAAATATTTGGCAGTACCCACAATGGAAGAATAGTTGGTGAAGGCAATAAAAGTTACAGAGATGGCTAAATTGACTTCTTTGATCATATCTATTTTTATTGCTGAATGGAAACTCCTTATAGACTTTTGCTTTAGTCAGAAAAAATGAAGTTATGTTTTAGAAGGGAAAGATTATAGAAAAATGAGAGTTATATTGTAACCATAGAGTAAGAGGTAAATTTTTAATTATACTTATAAAAGGAAAATTGGAAGCTTCTTTTCTGTAACTTTTTTTCTAGTTTTCTTCTACTTTTTCCCACTTTCTCACACCACTAGCTTTCTCTGTGATTTCCTTACTTTTCTTTTTTCACTCTTTATATTATAAATTTAAATGTATATATTTTAAATATAAATAAAAGGTTTGCCCAGTCCCCATCTGGTAACCTACTTAATTTAAGACAGTTGTTTGATGCTGGAGTAATCATCCTACCTGTGGCTGCTTTTAAAATGTAAGCTTGAAATCAATCCCATTAACTTTACATGAGAAGAGATAAGTCACATTGTCCCTCCTGGTGTGCTCCCAGCTATTAAAGTCAAATGCTTGTACTAAACAAGGAACACTAAGTGGCCTTTTAAGACATACAGTACAATTCACAGATTGTAAAAGGAGCTAATCTTTGTGCTGGCAGCAGTTTTAAGTTGATCCAATTCCTTGGTGTGTTCTGAATTCTCCCAAGAGATACGATTACAGCTCATTTTGATATGAGTCTTTGGAGAATTATTTATGTTTTCCAGAATCTTACTTTACTTTTTAATTTTATTTTGTAGGAATTGTTCGTGGCCAGACATGCCCATGAATGTGGTGGAATCTAGGCAGGTGAGCTATGAATTGCTAATGAAACAATTATTTGTGTGATGTGTGATATACCAAAAGGTCAGGAGCTGCATTTTCAATATTTTTTATATGTTTTCTTTTCTTTACACTCTGATCCTGTCTTCTCCTTTGGTAGTTCTTGCTTACAGGAGGCATCCTACTGTTGTTTTCCATTAGCCACTGTTTGCAAGAAAGATGGCTTTCACATCTAGTGAGAGATAAAACAAAAAGCAAAATAATTAATGTGCCACCTCCTAGCCAAACATCAACAAGATGTGTAGCTAGATGAATCAACTCTTCTTTTCATGCCTACCTCTTTCAAGTGATAGACCAATAAATGAATAAATGAAACCAGATGCTATTTCTTAAAAAACAGGAAAAGAAAATGTAAAAGTATTTTTTTACATTTTGAAATACAAATATTAAATTTTGAAGAGAAATTATACAGCTGTTCAGATTATGTGGGAAGAAGAGCACATTGATTAAAAAAGAAAGTGCAACAGGCAATGTAATACTCTGAATAGACCACAAGTCGGTAGACAACTGCTACAAATAGGATTTATCCATCCCATAGTCCCAATAAAGAGGTACTCTGAAATAGTGCCAAGAAAACTCCAGGGATCTGTCCAGGCAGTCACCAGGACTCAACACTGACTCAAAGGCAAACAAACAAACAAACAAATAAATAAAATCCATGCTTATAATATGATTCAAGGCTGATCTTAAAATATACTTTCGTAATTTTTAGACAGGTTTAATGAATCTTAGACTTATTACAAAAGCAATGGACACAGATTAAAAACTTAATATAAATTTCTCATTAGATGTGCTAATTATTTCTACAGAAATGAAATATTCATTTAATAGTTGCCCCCACTGCTTTTCTATTTATCTGGACTTATCCATAGATTCCTGGAGATGCCAGCCATGTATGAAATAGCACACCCTACTTCTTTCCCAGCATCTTTCCAGAAACTTATAGCTCATTTTAAAAGAGACAAAACTGTTTTTTTTTTTAATCTTCAGGAAAGGGAGAGGTTGGGAGAAATCTGTCTGTATGTGATATTGCATCTCTTTCTCATGAGAACGAATTCTGCTATCTGCCTGCAAGGACATATACAGTATTGAGAAAGTCTGAGTCCTGTCAGTTGGCAAGAGAATCACACCCATGATGGCCTATGCAAATTATTCACTAATGGACCCAGAAAAACCACATATCTACCCTCATGCCTCTTTAGAGTCATTTCCAACTTTTACGAATTCATATTTTAAAAAAGAAAGATATGTTGCTCTGAAATGGAGGAACAAATGGATTTTCATATTTATAAGGTTTATAAATATTCATGGGAGAATTGAAAGATACCAACCATATCATCATTTGATTTACTAGATTAGCATCTAAACTCATGAAGAAGCTGGGCTTACTGTGGTGGCAAATTTGTGATGTGACTGTTGGATTTCCATTGGAGGGTGGTTATGTCTGGAAACACAAAATTTCTTGGAGAAAGAGTAATCTTACCAGGAATCTATTAATCCATTAAATGGGCTTCACTTAGCCCAATTCATGAATAGACTATTTTACTTTTATTGAAATATCTGTCCAATATCAAATAATCCTAGGACAAGATATAATCCATATAGATACAAAAACAACTGAAGGGAAAAAAACTATAAAAAAATCAAACTACAACTAAGACTCCAGAACTTGTCAGGCCTCACCTTGAATGAAATCACTCTTGGCACCAACTTAAGTGTCAGCATGAAGAAGGACCTCAATTACACCCAAAAGATGAGATTCTTACATGTCCAGATAAGATGTATTCTCAGTGAAAGGATACCTTATAGGAATAAGCACCATTTGTAGATTTTGATAGCTGGGCAGACAAACAGTTTAGTAGGAGAGCTGTTCTGCCAAGCATCTTGCCCCATGTGATTTGGCAGACAAATATCTTGGCTATGTTATGTAGTCAAGATATTTGTCTGCCAATCTAAAGAAATTGATCTTTATCTTACATAGGGGTAGAGTTACTATAGTATTAATATTAATTAATTTTAAAATGGCCATTTCTCCATTGTCTCTTTTCTGACATGTACTCCAATAATTTTGATTGAAAGAAAGTTCTGGAATACTAGATTTCTCCATACATATTGTCTTTATTGTGTCTTTTACAATCTTTCAGCCTCACAAGTAAACCAAACAGGAAACATGACAAGATGAGCTAATTCTACTTTATTGAAAGGCTACATCATAATAATAATAATAATAATAATAATAATAATAATAATAATAATAATAATAATATCATTTGCCTGTAAGCAAAAACTGGTGAGATCATAAAACAGAGAAAGTCATAGAAAATGATAAAATTAAACTGCTCTGGGACTTCAGAATTCAAACAGACAAGCACCTGCAACATAACACCCCAGACCTAACAATTGTCGATAAGAAAGATAAAAAAGTCTGGATAGTGGACGTGACAGTGCCTGGAGACAGCAGAATAGATGAGAAAGAACTGGAGAAGATAACAAAATACAAAGACCTACAAATAGAAATAGAAAGACTGTGGCAAAAGCAAGCAAGGGTAGTACCAATAGTAATAGGCTCCTTGGGTGCAATCCCAAAACAACTGGAGCACCACTTGAACACCATTGGCATTGACAAATTCGCTATTAGTCAATTGCAAAAGGCGGCCTTATTAGGAACTGCTTCCATCCTGCGACGATATCTGTAATACCATCAGACATCCACATCTGCCTATCCCAGGTCCTGGGTAAGGACTCGATAGGTAGACAAAATGCCAAATCCAGTCTGAACATCTGGCTGACTGTGCGATGATTGATGATGATGATAATAATAACAATAATAATAATAATAATAATATAATGATAAAGTTGGAAGGGACCTTGGAGGTCATCTAGTCCAACCCCCTGCTCAGGCAGGAAACCCTGTATCATTTCGGACAAATGGCTGTCCAGTCTCTTCTTAAAAACTTCCAGTGTTGGCGCATTCACCGCTTCTGGAGGCAGGTTGTTCCACTGGTTAATTCTAACTGTCAGGAAGTTTCTCCTTAGTTCTAGATTGCTTCTCTCTTTGGTTAGTTTCCACCCGTTGCTTCTTGTCCTGCCCTCAGGCGCTTTGGAAAATAGCTTGACTCCCTCTTCTTTGTGGCAGCCCCTGAGATATTGGAACACTGCTATTATGTCCCCCCCTCCTCGTCCTTCTCTTCGTTAACAGCTCATTGCAGGTCTGAAAGTACAGGTCTCCCACCATTTCTATTATGCCTAATAAGTTGGAGCATATCCTTTCTAAGTTTCTTTTTCTGTGCATTACTAAGCTGTGGGCTTCTCCTACTTTTCTTTTATTTAGTTATTTATAAAACACAGTTATATGACTGCCCAACTCACACAGGATGACTCTGGGTGACTTACACCCTCTGATTGTTTCCTAGGCAGCATCTCTTCTCCTCATCTTGCAAGGTCATTTTCACATTCCATTATATAATCAGTTACTTCCTCTGTTACTGATTTTGCTATTCTTACGTTTGAGTTATAACTTTTAATCTTCTACAGTCTTCTTTCTTTGATAAACTTCAAACAAAACCAAGCAGCCAGGTGGTTCACTGAATGGGAGAAACCCAGCAAAATTGTAATTGGCCGATGATAGTGAAACTTGCACATTGATGCTCTCTTGACTTCACTTGATCATTAGACTGATTTGATCTTCTTTTGTCATTCATTTTTATCCTATATATCCTCTTAGGATGGATTGGCAGTTTGACAGGGACTATCTGACTGACAGCTAAAAACAAAAGGTCAGTGTAGGGCAGATAATTTAAAGAAAGAAAAAGAAAGGCTAATAGCTAGATCAAATGGGTGTAATATGGGTCTAACCTTTTTCATCGTTATGAGCATATTTGTACTGTTGAAAACATGTAATTCTAGAGAAATTAGATAATCAGAAAATGCCCATTTACCAAAAGGTAAAGGTGAGGATACATCTCATCACATGTCTCATCAACTTCAGCATGACTTTTGTATTCTCAACTGAGCTTTGAAGGGGACAAATCTGCCAAACAAAATTGTGGATTGGTGCTATCCGCTATTTTTTATTTTCCAACTGTAGAACACATATTGGGCATTCTTTGAAATGCAATTTTGTCTGCTGCAATTTTGTTCTTCTTTAAAAGAAAAGAGTCTTGAAAAGTATGTTATGGGGTAAGGAATGGGGAAAAGGGAAAAGTCTGCAGACATACTGAGATCTGTAGATATCACCTTAAAGGTCTTAATTTAAAATAAACTCCAAGCTGGAAACAGTTCACTCAGTTTTCTCAAACTTGAACTTTACAGTTCAAATACAGCAGAGTTATCATGTCAGTTTCAAATAGATTGTAAGAATTTTCACATTTTGCCCATAAGTCTAATATCTAGCACATAGCTGTGTTAATTAAACTGCTACAGGAGTTGAGTGCTACAATTTATATGGGGTCTGGATTGCATCTTAATTGTATCATGCAAGCTGAATGATAATGCAGCAAATGATCTGTGGAAAGTGATAATTGTATGTTACTCTTGTCCAACTCTCAACTTTTAAAAGGACTATGAAAAAAGGTTTCTTTTTTTGCTATGTGACTTTGTTTGACTAGATGGAAACAGTCATTAAACAGAGCTGAGAGTCTCACTAAGGCAAAAGCCAGAGTCTTCTTCATATTTCAAAGCAGGTCAGAACAAAATTGCAGTGGACAAAAGTGCATTTCAAAGAATGCCCAATATGTGGTCTACAGCATTCTTGGAAAATAAAAAATAGCGGATAGCACCAATCCACAATTTTGTTTGGCAGATTTGTCCCCTTGAGAATACAAAAGTCATCCTGGAGTTGATGAGACATGTGATGAGATCTACAAAAAGTGTTTCAGGGAATGAGCTACCTGGCCTTCTCCCTTACATTCTAAGAACGCTGCAGTTTTTCCTATGTCACCTTGTGGACAATCCAAATCTGACTTTCA